GTGGATATTCTATGGAATATTGTTCAGTAGTAGGTTGTTTGGTAATGTATTCAGTCGTTGGAAGTTGCTTTGTTGAATACTGTATGGTTGTTGATTTTTCCGTTGAATATGGTATTATGGTCGGTGGTTGTTCCGTAGAATATTTCTCAGTTGTCGAAAAAATGTGAATAGAAAGTTCAGTTGTCGAGGGCTGTTGAATAATATGTTGTGTAGTTGTTAAAGGTATTTCTTTTGGATATTCTGTTGTTGTTCGAGGTTCTTCTGTGGAATATTCTTGAGATATTGAAGGAATTTCAGTAGAATATTCAATTGTTGGAGTCAGTTCTGTAGAATATTTAATTGTTGAAGGCAGTTCTGTAGCATATTCAGTTGTTGAAGACAATATTGTAGGATATTTAGTTGTTGACGGCAATTCAGTAGAATATTCAGTTGTTGTAGGTAGTTCAGTAAAATTCAGTTCAATTGGAGGCAATTTTGTAAAGTATTTACTTGTTGGAGGAAATTCTGTAGAATATTCTGTTGTTAAAAGTTGTTCCGTAGAGTATTCAGGCATTAAAAATTGGTGCGTAGTATGTTGTATAGTTGTTACAGGCATTTCTGTTAAATATTGTGTTGTATATTGTGTTGTTAGTGGTTGTTCTGTGGAATATTGTTCAGTTATTGGAGGAAGATACGTAGAAAATTCAGTTGTTGAGGATTTTTGTGTAGTTGTTGAACTCATTTCTGTTGACTGTTGTGCTGTTGTTGGTGATTGTTCTGTAATATATTGCTCAGTTGTTGAAGGTAATTCCGTAGTGTATTTAGTCGTTAAATATTGTTCCGTCGTATATTGTATAGTTGTTGAAGGAACTTCTGTTAAATATTGTGTGGTTTGTGGCTGTTCTATGAAATGTATTTCAGTTGTTGGAACCATTTCTGTAGAATATACAATTGTTGAAGGTTGTTGTGATGAATATTGTATAGTTGTCGAAATTTTCTCTGTTGAGTGCTGTGTTGTTGATTGTTCAGTAAAATATTCTTGCGTTGTTGAATATTTTTCCGTCAAAAATTCTGTTACAGATTTTTCAGTAGATCGTTCAGTTTCCGAGGGTTGTTCCATAGAATATTGTGTAGTTGTTCCCATTTTCTCTGTAGTGAATTGTCCCATTGGTGAGAATGATTTTGTAGTATATTGTTCCGTCATTTGAGGCAACTCCGGGAACTGCGTAATCGTTGTTTTATGTTTCAAAGGATACTGTGCCGTCACGGTAATCAATGTTACGCTTTCTGTCGTCTCTAAATTCTCGGTAACCATCTCAGTACTAGTTTCTTCAAACGTAACATTCTGAGTAAAACTACTTTCACTAGTTATATTAGCAAATTCCGTAGTATATTCATTTACGTATATCGGAGTAACTGTAAAGACTTTTCCCGATTTTGTTATAGTGGCGTTTTTCGAAGGATAAACGTACGTGACGGGGGTAACTATATGAACCTTACTTGGTTCAGTTACATTACTGCTTATAGTCGTTTCCGGTAATCTACTCAATTCCGTGGTAGACGTCATTTCATTGGTCGAAATGTATTCCGTACCATAAGTATAAGATACAGAAGTAGTCTCATCACCCATCTCGATACCACCTACAGTCGGAACAACTTCGGTGGTAGTCGTTTCAAAAATATCTTGAACAGTGGGTATTTCTGAAAAACTATTAGTTGTACTCTCCATACTTTCAACACTTGTCGTCGTGATGATTCCACGATCATATGCTACTGTCGTGGGCAGAGTGGATTCACTTGTCACGAATGTAGGAGTACTTTCTTCGACAACGGAAGTTTCAGCGACTACTTGAGTCGTGGGTTCGCTACTCGAATACGAAATTGTTGTACTTTCTTCGCTTGAAGAAACAGTTGAAGTATTTACGGTTACGGTTCCTGATGTCGTATGATCTAAAACAGAGGTTGTTCGCATAGTTGTGGTGTCTGTACAAGTGTAATCGTGTTCGTCGCAGCCACAAACAGGCCTGTGTGCTTTAACTAGGCATCGAACCGTCTGAAGGACAGCAATCGACGCAAGGATCAGTGCAAGATCCTTCGACACAGGCTTCTGTTTTGCTGCACTCGTCATCGGGCTCGTAGAAATGTTTGATCGTGTGATGGAGTAATGCTGCGGATACAATAAAATATAAACAAGGTGAACTTCAAGGCCAAGAGAAGTCGAGTCAGAGGCGGCTGAAACGTTTTCAAGCATTTTCATTCTCTCTCGATTACGCTAATGACTACGATCCATCGTTTACTGGTTTATTCCAAGTAAAAAAAAAAAATACTACGAATTAAGTTAAGATTAAGTTAAGCATGCTCGCGCAATAAATAGACAAGCTATCGGTCAGAAATATATATATATATATAATCGATTAAGTCTTTACAGAGACAGATGTAACGGGAAAAAAAAAATAATCGTTGAACAGTGAGGACACAGGAGAGTAATAGGTAATCGGAATGACGAACAGTTGTATCTGTGAAACTTTTTGAAACCTGAAACGTTTTTCATATATATTTTCCATTCAGACAACGGAATAAAATGACGAGCAGTTTCGTTTGAAAGAAGAAAAAAGAAAAAAAAAAATCAACATCGATCAAAAATTATTTTTTCCAATATATCCGATAATATCCCGCTGTCTGAACGGTTTCTGAGAAACCTGAAAAGTAGCAATTGGTATGTTTGGTGTATAGTATAGTATAGTATAGTATAATCACAGTATAGACAAGAATCGTGAACCAGATTTGGTGAACATTAGGAGAGAGAGAGAAAAAAAAAAAGAAGTAAGTGTCAAAGAACTATATGTATATATATATGTATATACATATAAGATATACATATAAAAAATCATAAAAAAAAAGGTGGAGCGAGACAGATCTATGGTAGAAGAACGAGAGTGCGAGTGAGAGCGAGAGAATAGAGAGAGAGAGTGAGATAGGTGGTGAGAAATGGTGTTTACCTTTCATGCATCCGTATTTAATATCTGGCACAAAGCCGGGGGGACAGAACTTGCAGATAGGCTTGTGCTCCTCCACGTAACAGGGGGCATCAGCCGGACAGGTGGAGTTTCTGCATGGGTCCACGCAGCGATAGTTGCGGCACGCCAAGTCTGGAGAGCAGCCACTGTCTCGCAGGCAAATGGAGAGGGAGGGATTGCAGTTTTGTGTGCATATGCAGACGGGACGGTGGTCCAGGACGTCGCAGGTTTTGTCAGCCGGGCACGGCTTTTTCTTTCTCACGTTACACGGGTTCTGGCATTCCCGTTCACGCACGCGGCGTTCGACGGGCAGTCGAAGTCCCTGGTGCACGTCAACGTGTCCGGGGCGCACGTCAGCTCGCCGACCTCGTTCACGACGAAACCGTATTTGCACACGCACATGGGCCTGTGGTTCCGCACCTGGCACCTCTTGTTCACCTCGCAGGTGTATCGGGAGCTGAGGCACGGGTCACGGCACTCGCCGGTGCGAGTGTGGCACGACAAGCTCTCCGGGCAGTCGCGGTCCGACGAGCAGCCGATGTTCGGCGTCGGTCGCGGATTCAACGTTTCGCATTTCGGGTCTGGATGGCAGGCCGTGTGAGGCATACCGATATAACACTGGGGGCAGGAGCATCGCGGTTTGTGCAGAACCACACGGCACAGGGCGTTGATCCCGCAGGCGCCACGGAGACCGCACGGGTCCACGCATTGCAGATTTATGCAGGCCTTTTCGTTCGGGCACTCGAGATCGCTGGTGCATTCGCGCTCTGGATCACCGAAACATCCATCCGTTTCGAATGGTTGATTTTGTTTTTTTTTTGTTGTTGGTTGTTGTTTTTTTTTTTTTCAGTGTAGACTCATAGCAGAGTCGGTGGAGGTGATGGTAGGTGATGGTGGTTGTGGTAGTGGTGGTGGTGGTGGTGGTGGTGGTGGTGACGGGAGAGGAAAAAAAAGAAAAAAGCATATATAAGAACTGTGAAAAGAAACTTTCTCACAAATAACATAAACCACATGCTTTGTATTCGTAATACGGAAATAAGTAGGGTAGCTTTCGTGAATGAAGAAGTATAAATAATAGAGAATCGAACTTTTACACTCATTTTACGTGGACCGTACGAGAAAGTAGAGATGCTCCCTCGTCGTCCAGAGAGATGAATTCATATATATACATACAGAGTGTGTATATATATACGTATATACGTAAATTGGCAAGCAGCGATATTTACAACACAAGCCCCCACAGAATTCAAAAGAAAATAAGAGGGAAAAAATAATGTAAAATAAATAAGTGGATAAATCCAGCAAAAAAATAACAAGCATGGGTATATGAGAATGTCCCTTTCGCAGTTCCCAATCTGTATTATTAGTCCTAGGTCTAAAAAAAGAATGGATCATCGGTCTTCTCTTTCATTCACTGTAAAAAATGTGTTACCTTTTTTTTTTTTTTTCTTATGTCGCTGCAATCGAAATATATATGCAGTCTCTCTCTGTCTCTACTTTTTCACTTATTATATATTATTTTTTTTATCTTTTCGTTATCTTTTCTTTTTTCACGTATATATACATATATTTTTTTTTTTTTATCTGTTTAGATCATTTTTGTCTTAGATCATTTTTGTTTCCACAAGACAGATTGGATACTGAAATAAACATTCTACATATGAATAAATTACGTGTGAGACATGTGTGAAACGTGTTCCTCATTTCCTGGACACATTATGTACAGTATTGCCTAACTGTAGATAGATATATATGTACAGGTATATATGTTTTCACGCGACCATTTGTGGGTAAAATCCAGTGTCGTATTTTTGTATCGTTTTTTTTTTGTTACAATATGTATATATATATATATATATGTATAAGAATCGTCTAAAAGACTGGTCCAATCACATCTGTCTCTTCGATTGTTAAACGATTCACTGGATTAATACATTCTAATGGTATTACTGTCAATTCCTACTAAAGACGATAATACATGGTTATTCTACGACCATGTTCCTCATGTTTCGTCATTAATTGCTCGCTAGTCACAAATGCTGTACATAAAATTAATCGATATGCCCGGTTAAACAGTTAGTAGGCCGTCTCTTACCTGTCGTGCACTCGACATCCGGCGATCCACTGGTACCTGGTGGACACCTGCACACGAATATCGCACCGTCCCGTATGCACTCGGCTCCCTTACCGCATCCGTTCGTGCGACAATCGAAGCTCTTTTCCGCGCTACCTGTGCTCGCGATCGAGAAAATTTATCGGTGAAACGAAGTAAAAATCGATCGAAATCTGTCTTTTCCTTTTTCCTTTCTTTTCTTTTTCTTTTTTTGCAAATATCACGAAAAAAACTCATCCATCGTATATGATCATTCGAGAGAAAAAGAAATGCATTCTTTTACAACTCTGAACATAACTTTGGTTTTAATTTTAATTTTAAATAGCGTTGGTATTAAAAAATAATTGTCCGACCGACGGATACTCACAAGCGTGCATCGGATCCCCGGAAGGAAAATTGGATGGGCAGTAGCATTGCGGTTGATTCTTGTAAATCCTGCAAGCAGCGTTCACGCCGCAACGCATATCCTTGCACGGTTCCCCTCCGTCGCAGATGCAGGCTTGGTGAGGATCGCCGTGGCATCCGGGGTCGCAGGTGCACTCGAATCCGTTCAATGTTTCTCTACACTTCGCGTTCACGCCACAAGGTCTTCTCAAACACTCGTCCCCGCCTTCGAGTTTTAAATTATTAATATAACTTTCAATTTTAAGAATTTTAAGAAAATTCAAATAAGATCTACGCATCTATTCTTAGTCAGGTACCTTTCTTGCAGTTGATCTGAGGATTTCCATAGTGTCCAGGAGGACAAGAGCACTGCGCCTTCCTATTAACCACCCTGCATTGCGCGTTGAAGCCGCACACACCGTGTTGGAGGCAGGGATTCGTGCACACACCGTCCTCGCTGCACCGTTTGTTGGCCTCGCAGTCCTCGTCTCGATGGCACTCCAGTTGATAGCACTCTTGGCTGGGCTCCCCTTGGAACCCTTCTGGGCACAGACACACCGCTCTGTGATTCGACACGCGGCACAAAGCATTGATTCCGCAGGGCGATCCATTTGCGGAACACGGATCCTCGCATTGGCCATTGACGCAGGATAGGGCGGATGGACAATCGGAATGTGTGCGGCATCCGATCAGACACAGCCCCTCGTCACAAACGTATCCCTGTATATACGATAATATTTTAAAAAAAGACAACTCTTTCTGTCTTTTTTTTTTAATTCTTGTAAACTTGAAAAGAACTTGGTACAACCTTTGGACAATAGTTGTTAACGTCACACTTGATGCGACATTTCCCCGAATGGCACGTTTCACCGCACGAGCATTGATCCTGGCTATGGCAACTCTTCGTGCAGAAACCGATCTCGTCGCATTCGCAAGCGCCGTCGCAGGGGATCATGGATTTCGAGCAACTGATTAATGCATTCCCATAATAATTGGCCGGACAACTGCATTGCGCCACGTGATTCGCCACGCGGCAACCCGCGCACTCGCCGCAAGCCTTGCCACCCTCGCAAGGATCTGTAAAAAAAAAGAAAAAGAATGGACGTAAAATTAAATTGAAAAGAATTATTCTCCAATAGTGTTATATAAGCATCGTCTCACTTACTTTTACATTTGTTATTTATGCAAGACTCGTCATTGGGGCAAGTGTTGTCGCTGCGACATCCAATATCGCATAATCTGTTCTGACAAATCTGATTAGCCACGCAGTGATCGTCGCTGTTGCATATAGCCTTGCATATCCCCCCGTCGCATCGTTCGTCGCTCAAGCAATTAGCGTCACTGCAAAATAATTTACACCATCTTACTTAAATCTTCTCCCCGAGGAGAAGCAATCTTCGATAAACTTAATAAGCCTTGCCTTCTACACGTTGCGTAACAAGATCTTCCGTAACAAGTCTGACCGGTCGCGCATTCCTGTTCCGCGTTGCAAGGCAAGAACGCCTGTTTGCAGCCGATCAGAGGATCCCCTACCAACGGTGTCGGGCACGAGCACACTTTCTGATGAGCCGCGACCGTGCACTTGGCGTTCGCTCCGCACACGTCAGGAAGAGAGCAAGGATCTGCGAGACGAAAAACGAAAATTTCGAGTCCAAAGCAAATTATGCATCACATTACTTTATATATCATTTTGCATCGATCGATAATTACCGTCGAAACTTCTTACCTCGACACTGGTTATTCAGACAAGCGAAATTCTCTTGACACTCGACATCAGCGCGGCATCCGATCACGCACACCAATCCCTCGCATATTTCTCCGCTTCTGCAATCCTCGTCCCTTCTGCACAACGATTTACAAATCCCCGAGGGATCGCAGCGCTCGTTGCTCAGACAATTCAAATCCGTGGAGCAGACGGGGGTGCAAATGTTTCCTATGCAAGCTGTCCCCGTGGCGCAGTCCCTGTTCGCTTGGCAGACGGGCCCAGGCGATCTCAGGCAGGCAACCTTCGCGGTTGGATTCGGTATGAAGCCGGCTGGGCACGAACAGGTGGCGCGTTGATTGAACACCGTGCACTTGGCGTTCGGCCCGCAAGGGGTCGCCTCGCAAGGATTGATGCATTTGTTCGTGATGCACGCTTCGTTGGCGTTGCAGTCCTCGTCCGCCCGACAACCGAACGTGCACATGTTGTGCAAGCATATGTGGCCCAGAAAACAGTCGTTGTCCAACCTGCAGGTGAGCAAACAGTTTCCCCGAACGCATTTCTCGTTGAACGCGCACTCGTTGTCGCTGGAGCAGATTGGAAGGCACACGTTGTCGCGGCAGGTATTCCCGTCGTTGCAATCGTTCGTGTCTCTGCAGGACACTGGCACTGAGAGAATCGAATGCGGAACGAAATTTATTTATTTTACCAAGCTATTTTACCAAGATACGAAAATCTTTTGATTCAGAGAATTTAAATCTTAAGAATTTTTTGATAAAGTTAAAGGTCGAGAGAAAAAACGTTTCATAAAAATTTTCTTGAAATTAATAACAAAATAATTCTTCCTTAAATAGTTGTAATTCAAAAATGTGGGACGGTAAACTTTTAGATAAGAAATTTTTATCTTCTATAAGCTTTAGAAAAATTCAACCAATGGGAGAGGGAAAAATGTGAAAGTTTCGAAATAAAATTCTCACATCTCACGCATTCCACTTCCGAGTTGCCGGTGAAGCCAGGTGGGCAGCTGCACTGTTTAATGTGACTCCTCACGTCGCATTCCGCATTTATTCCACACGCGGCTCTCACGTTGCAAGGATCCAGGCATTGTCCGTTCAAGCACAGGTCTGACAAGTTGCATTCCTCGTCCGATTGGCAGGACGCTGAAAGAATTTCAAATCGTTCACGATCCACGATCGAGAAGAGCTTGTTAGACAATACTCACGTCGACAAATGCCTTCGTAACAGTAGGTGTTGGGCGAGCAGTCCGCGGCTGACGAACAAATAACCGGTTTAGGCCGACAGCCTATACTTAGATTGTTCGGATCGCCCTCGTAATCGGGCCGACACTGACAGGCCCCCGCGTGACTAGCGGCCGCGCAATCCGCGTTCGGCCCGCACTGCGTGCGCGAGCAAACATCTGGAATATCGGGATCATCGACAAAGTCAGTCAAGACGAAATCTAAGATTTGTCGTTAAAACTCTACACAATTTGCTGGAGGAAGATTATAATAAGTAAGATAAAATTATTACGATTTGAAAATTTTCTTTGATTAATCTTTAAATTCTCGATAAATTTTTCCAAATGAAATTTCGAGAACGTGATTCTCCGTGTATGTCGAAATTCCGTTTTAAAAATCAATCGCGAACGATGTTTTACGTACCGAAACATTTGGGCACATTGTTGACGTTAATACACTTGGCGGTGAGTGGGCAATCCTCGTCCTGTAGACACTCTACCGGTGGTTGACAACCACTGTTGTACGGATCTCCAACCATTCCCTGTTGACAGTGACATTTGTAAGAGCCTCTGGAATTTTCGCACAGAGCGCCAGGAGCGCACGGTTCGTTCAGACAATAATCGATCAATTGGCATCCGTGAGTAGGCTCTCCCGTATAACCTGGCTGGCACGTGCATATCTAGAAAAGACGATATACTTTACTACACCTTTTTACTAATTTTCCACGACGATTCGACGTATAATAATTAATTCGATCGATCAACCTGAACGTGCTTCTCCGCCGTGCAAATGGCGTTAACCCCGCAAGGATTATGGGCGAGACAAGCGATTCTACATTTGTGGGTGTCGCAAATCTTCTCCCCGGTGCAATCCTCGTTCGCCTCGCACTCGATAGGCTGGCAACCGATCTTATCGTCCTTGGGATTTCCAAAGAATCCAGATTTGCAGGAGCAAACCGCGACGTGTTTATCCGCCTTGCATTCCGCGTTCCGCCCGCAGAGGACCAAGTCGCACGCTTTGCGACACTCCGCCTGGCCAATGTTGTTCTTCACGCATCTTTCGTCGTAGGAGCAATCGCCATTCGACGTGCAACGCAGTTCCTGCACGCAAATGTTGTTTTGACAGTATTGGTATTCGGGGCAACTGGAGTTGGTCTTGCAAGTCGGTTGACAGAGGCCGTTGATGCAGAGCTGGTCGCCTATGCAATCCCTCGTGCTACCGCACAACGCTGTAACGTGAATATAGATCGAAGATGAAGTGAGAAAATTTTTAAATCAAACGATTGATTCAAATGTTGAATCGAATCGTCGAGTTTCTGTTTCTATTTATTTGTACCGGTGCATATTCCTCCCTTGCAAGCCGAGCCTGTGGCGCATTGGGAATCCGATTTGCAGTATTGGACAGGTGTGCAGCCCAGATTGGGGTCACCTGTGCCACCGGGTTGACACGTGCACACCGCGCTATGGTTCAGAGAAGAGCAGTCCGCTCCTTGGCCGCATACGTTGGAAAGAGAGCAAGGATCGACGCATTTGTGATTGAAACAGGCGTCGGAAGGACCGCAGTCGCTGTGGTAATTGCATTCCAAATGGACGCACTCCGACTGGGGGAAGAGTTTAAAAAATAAGAAACAAGCAAGCGAACGATCGAAAGGAAAATTAATTTTTAGATTTTAATTTTAATTGATTGAAAGAAGATCGTTCGAGGATAGGCTCACCGCTGGATTGCCGGTAGTCTGGCCAGGACATCTGCAAAATGGAACGTGGTCACGGACGAAACACTCGGCGTTTCTTCCGCAAACGGCGGACACGTCGCAAGGATTCGTGCATCTGTTGTCGATGCAAGCGGCAGAATTGGGGCAGTCGAAATCGGTGAAGCAGTCGCCTGGCTGTTTGCAACCCGACTTGAACGGATCTCCGACCAATCCGTGAGGACAAATGCAGGTGTAAGAGCCCTCCGTGTTTTGACAACTGTAAAATAAACGCATTCTCATCATTAAAATTATAAACATTAACTTTATGTGAGAAGCAAACAAATTGTAATTAAACGTACACCGCGGAAGAGTGACAAGGATTTTCCAAACACTCGTCCACATCTTCGCAAATATCGCCTGCCAGCTCGAAACCGGGATAACATTGGCATATTCCAGTGTGGTCGGACGCCACGCAGTTCCCGTATCCACAATTCATTTGATTGCAAGGACCTTGGGTGAATCGTTTCGTTAGAAGAAGATTAAACGAAATCCACGATCAATCTACGATTCTGAATCGAAATTATGAATGAAACGTTTGCTTTGATCACTCACTGCTGCATTTGTTAGCGTCCTGATTGCAATACTTGTCGGTGGGGCAGTCGTTATTGGAGAGACATTCCACTTTGAAACATCCCGAGGAATCACCTATGTAACCAGGCTGACATTGGCACGCGGCAGCGTGGTCGAAAACGGAGCAAATTGTGTTGAGGCCGCAGTCGACCAGAGAGCAAGGATCGGTGCAATTGTGTTGGATGCAAGCCTGCGAGTCAGGACAATCAGCGTCCAATATGCATTGATGAGAAATCGCGCAACCGGTTCCCACGGGATCACCGGCCGTCCCTTGCGGGCAGACGCAGCGATAAGATCCACGAAGATTGACACAATCCGCGCTCGAGTGACAGGGATGATCGTCGCATTCGTTGATGTCCAAACAGTGTTCCGGCCCAGCTATGAATCCGTGGCTGCATCTGGATGGCAAACGAATTTTAGATTTATCTACCCGTGAATCCGAATTTAAATCAATTAATCTTGTTTGCCTTGTTTGAGAGAAATTAAGTATACGAATACGTACTTGCACTTGTTGTTGATGCACACCTCGTTGTCGTTGCAGCCAACGTCGGAGGTGCAGCCTACCTCGCACACTCCGTCGATGCACAATTCGCCCGGCAGACAATTACTGTCACTGTAGCACACCTTCATGCATATACCATTCTTGCAACGTTCACCCTCGGCGCAGTTGCTCGGTTCGCTGCATTGGCATTGGCAGAATCCAGACACGCACACGTGCTGGCTGGGGCAATCCTGGGGACCCTCGCATATGTTCGGCACTCTGACGCAGCCCTGTTGGGGCGTAGGATTCCCGTGAAAGCCGAGAGGACAGGTACACAGGGTCGCGTGATTCGTGATGCTACAGATCGCATTCGGACCGCAAACATCTTTCTTTTTACACGGATCTGAAACGGAAGAACGGAACGTTGATTTCAAACAATTTTCTTCTTCTTCTTCTTCTTTTTCCTTTCTTAATAATACCTTGACACTTGTTGTTAATGCAAGACTCCGTCGACGGGCAATTCTTGTTGCTTCGACATCCCAAGATGCACGCTCCGTTGACGCAAGTCTGATCGGTCTGACACTGCGAATGGGTGACACAGGGAACCACGCACTTATTGTTAGCGCACTTTTCACCCGCCGAGCAATCAGCAGCCGTTCTGCAAACAGCTACAACCAAGATAATTTTCTCGATGAAACCACACGCATCTAAATCCGTGAATCAAAAAGAAACCTATCCGCTTACCTATGCATTGTCCCTCGAGGCACACGCTCTCCTCGCAATCGGCATCGACGTTGCAGTAATTGGTTGCGCGGACGCAACCATCCTGCGGCTCCTTCGAAGACGGTACGAATTTATGGATGCACTTGCAACTCGGTCGCCCGTTGATAACGTCGCAAATGGAATTCGGTCCGCAAGCATTTTCGCACGGATTGGCGCAACGATGGTTGTGGCAGATCGAGTGCACGGGGCAATCCTTGGCTGTGGCGCAGTAACCCTCCGGTTGGCAGCCTTTCGCGTAAGGATCCCCGACGAAGTTTGCCGGGCACTGGCACACGGGATTGTTGGACGGCCCGGGACGCAGACGGCCGTCTCGTGGCAGGGATTCGGATGGCAGGCCTCGATCGCCACGCACTCGACGTCGGCGACCGGATTCGGTTTCAACCCGGGTGGACACTGGCAGATCGCTCTGTGGTCGTCCGCTATGCAAACGGCGTTCACCCCGCAAGCATCCTCGCCGCAGGCGTCGTAACAAGTGTGGGTCAGCCTGTTGCAAAGCTGCGTGGGCGGGCAGTCGAGGTTGTAGACGCAGGGGACAGGTTTGCATCCCTCGACCGCGTCGTTGGGATCGCCAGCGTAGAGGCCGGGCGGGCACTCGCAGTTTGCCACGTGATTGTGAACCACGCACAACGCGTTCGGCCCGCACGAGACGAAATTGCACACCGGCTGACACGCGAGAAGCCCCTCCTTCCCGCTCCTGCACGTCTCATCCTCGGGGCACTCGGTGTCCGTGGAGCACCGATCCTTCCTACGCGTCTGGCAACCGTGACGATCGTTGGGATTCCCCACGAAACCGGGCAGACACTCGCAACGGCCGCGATGCTTCTCCGCCACGCATCGAGAGTTGGGGGCGCATGTGAAGCTTTCACACACCGAGGCGCACTTCAACACGCCGAGAGGATCGGGCCTGCAGCCCTCCGTCGCGTGGCAATCGTCGTCGGATATGCAATCGGGGACCGATGGCTTCTCGCAAGACGACAATATAGGATTCCACTCGTACCCGTCCTGGCACTTGCAAGTCGCGTGGCCGGGGATTATGTCCGGCTCGCACTTTTGGTGGGCGCCGCACACCACCTTGCTGCACGGGTTCACGCACTCGCGGACGCCGTCGTCGAGCGGGACGCAGAACGAGTCCTTGGCGCAGTCGGCGTCGTTGCGGCAACCGGGCGTTATAACCGATTTCGACGGTTGGCAACCCTCCACCAAGTTGCTGGGATTCCCCACGTATCCGTCGACGCACAAGCACGAGGACGCGTGATTCTGGGTGACGCACAACGCGTTTGGACCGCACTGCAACTTGCTGCACGCGTCCACGCATTTTCTAACTCCTTTTCCGACTTGGAAGCAGATCTGTTGGGGCTCGCAATCGAGGTCGTTGGAGCAGTGGCCGTGAAGGCGACACCCTTTGGCAAGATCGTTGGGGTTGCCCGTGTAACCGGGCGGGCAGACGCAGGCCCCCTCCTGGCAGACCGATCTGGGTCCGCATTTCACGTCGCTGCAACGATTTATGCATTTGCCGCCCGCGCAACTGTAGTCGAGCGGACAGGGGATCGAGTCGCTGCAACTGCAGGTCGAGGGATCGGTGCAGGGGCCGACTTGGACTTGCTGGCAACCGATGAAAGGATTGCCGAAGAAGTTCTCCTTGCAGCGACAGTCGTAGCTACCGATCGTGTTGATGCACACCGCGTTGTTCCCGCAAGCGTTCGCATTGCACTCGTTGATATCTGAAAAGAAGTTGTCAAAATTTTTCGGTGGAGAGGTGATCTATCGACACGATATATATATGTTTACATTTGAAAATGATGGAAGATAATTTTTGGAACACGAACCGTGGCACTGAATATAAGGATTTCCAGCGTAACCGGGAGGGCACAAGCATTCGACAGCGTTTGGCCCAGCGTTGCAATGGGCATCCTTTCCGCACAGCGCGGTGGAACAATCGGATTTCTGTTGCACTCCACAACCGTGATACGGGTTCCCAGTCGTGCCAGGATTGCACACACACTTTGACTCTTGCAACGTGTACTCGCAATGGGCGTTCGAGCCGCAAGCAGGATCGCAGGCGGGTGGTAGAATCGCTAAGGAACAGAGAATTCGATTCGACAAAGTGCGCGACGAAGTGAAATTATTGGTTCGAATGGTTGTTGAACAGGGCGACGCTTACGCGGCATGCAAAGGAGATCCGGATTCCCAATGAAATACGGATTGCACACGCATTTGCTGGTAGCTGGGTCGCAGGAGGCGCCGATACCACAGACCACGCCCTCACATCGACGTTTGCACCTTCCGCTTATGCACACGCTTGGCTCCACGCAAGGGACTTCCGGGGAGCAAATATCCGGTTGGCACTGGCCCCCAGGGAACGGATTGCCCATGAAACCTTCGATGCACTTGCACGTTGGCCCGCTATAACTCACGATGCACTGTGCCCCGGAACCACAGACGAACCCATCGCATTCTATATATATATGTATATAATAATTTTGACAATTTTGGGATTAAACGATGAAATATTTAAGGAGTAAAAAAAAAGAGCATTTAAGGATTGTATACGACTTACGTGAAACGCATTCGTTGTTCTTGCCCTCCACGAATCCGATCACGCATCGACACCACGCGGCATGCTTGTCCGGCTCGCAATAAGCGTTTGGCCCGCAAGGTATATTGTCGCAAGGGTTCGCGCACCTGCCGTTGACGCAGGCGAACAGATTGTCGCAATCGTCGTTCGAGGTACACTCGTTCTTGGCCACGGCTCCGGTACAACCACCTCCATAAGGATCGCCCACTGTCCCCTTCGGACATTCGCAAATGTGATCGCCTTTCGTGTTGATGCAATAGGCACCGTGTCCGCAAGGATTATTCGCGCACTCGTTCACATCCACGCAACCGTGTTGAGGATCCCCCTCGTAACCAGCCTCGCACATGCACCTCGGTGGATCGCTTGGCGTGCATTTCGCGTTTATGCCGCATGGAAATCTGTCGCAAGGATCTGAAAAAATATTTGAAATAATGTTAAAATAATCACTCGTTAAAATTGGATTCGAATATCGTTGAAATTCGATCTTGTTTTTTTGGCAACAATTCTGTGTTTTTTTTTTTTCCGCGAAGAAACTTACTTTTGCAAAGGTTTCCGTCGAGGGGATCGGTGTAAAACGGTGGCGGACAAACGCATTCGCCAGGCTGGACGCATTTCTCGTTGGCTTTGCACTCGTTGTCGCTCGTACACCTCTTCTGAGCTGGGGAACAAAGACCGTTGTACGGATCGCCACCGTAACCGTGCGGGCAAACGCACTGATGCGATCCTGGAAGGTTCATGCACTCTGCCCCGTAACCGCATACTTGATGACCGACGATACACTCGTTTATATCTACGAAAGTAATTTCGATTTAGAAAAAAACGGACGAAATTCGACGTGGAAAGGAAGAAATTTTCGATACCCTCGCAAGAACCGTCACTCTTGGTCGTATATCCTTTGGGACAAGCGCAGTAGCTCACTCCACCCGCGATTGTGATACATTCCGCGCCGCTTGGACACTTCTCGCCTTTGGAACATCCAGCCAACATGCATTTCCCATTGACGATCTTGTACGGAGGCTGACATTGGCACTCGATACTGTTGCACTCTGCGATTATTATCGTTCGAATTTAAATGTCAACAATTTACTGCACCATCGATATCTATTCCATTATTATTATCCATAAAATGAATCGTAATTAATTTAATTATCCACGAGTCACGATAGTAAAGTGGATTTTAAGAAAGAAAGAAAGAAAGAAATTCAAAATCACCTTCACAAAGCGAGAAAGGATTCCGTTAAATCCAGGTGGACACTGGCACTCGTAACTTCCGGGTAAATTTTTACAGATGGCGTTAACGCCGCAGGCGGGCTTATCTCTGAGCTCCATACATTCGTTAATATCCCTACACTTTCCACTCTCGTGATCCCTGGTGTATCCTCTCTGACAGATGCAAACGCTGCTTCCAATGAATTCATCCTTGATGCACTGTTCCCCGGCAGGGCACGGTGTGCTCGGTCCGCAAACGTGAGGGGCCTTCGATTCCTGACAACCACCGCTGTACGGATCACCCGTGGTACCGCTCGGACACTGGCAAGAGAACGATCCTGGCTCGTTGTTGCAGATGGCGCCTTGTGGGCATGGATTGATGGCGCACTCGTCGATATCCCTGCAACCGCCCTTCACCCCAGGCTTGCCCGTGTAACCACTGCGGCAGAGACATGTGGCCACGTCGTTGGACAGCATGCAATGGGCATTCGGCCCGCAGGTCAAATCCTCGCACGGATCTAATTTAATCGTACGTATTTTTTTATTAGAAAGAAAATTACTCGACAAAATTTTTTCGAAAATTTTATTTTTACGAAGAACGAAGAGACTCACGTCTGCAGTCGTTTCCAACGTTAGGCTCGGGACACAGGCAACGCTTTTGCGGATCGCAAATGGCATTTCCAGGGCAATCGCCATCAACGTCGCACGTAACTATGCCGACACACTTGATGTAAGGATCAGGATCCGGAATAGTTCCCTCTGGACAAGTGCACGAGTACGAACCCTCGGTATTCGTGCAGGTGGCCCCATGACCGCAAGTATCTGATCTCGTACATTCGTCCACATCTGTCTCAAATTTATCGTTAATCATCGTCTTCGATTTCAATTTGTTTAAACTCGCGTATCTTCAATTCGAAACGTACCCATGCATTGTTTGAAAGCATTCCCCGAGAATCCTGGCTTGCACTGACAACTGAATCCGCCCAAAGTATTCGTACAGATCGCATTTTTGCCACAACGTCCCGAAGGGCCGTTTATCGCGTCGCATTCGTTTATATCTGGTTCGAAGGGAAATTAAAAATATCATTCGTCCAATCCATTCGTGAGATCGATTCGTTCGTACAACCAAACACTTACCAACGCATCCAGCCGCGATGTCGTTCGGATTGAAAGTCCATCCGTCTTCGCAGATGCAATAAGCTTCGTGGCCGTCCGCTTTGCAATACGCGTGATCGCCACAAGTTACTTCGTCGCACGGTGCTAACG